AACTCCAAGCTTCCTAAACCCTCAACCGAAACCCCAATTATGATCTGCTTGCCCACTCAGTGCCTTGGGTCTTTCAACAGACCCCAAAATAAACCCTAACCTGCCTGGACCCTACACAGTACAACTCGTTCAGGATGTGTGCCATGCCTACAAAAAGCTCAGACCCGAACCCCTGCAGGTTATAAATCAGCACCCCAGGGTTTGGGGTTTAGGGTTTAGTTTAGGGTTTAGGGTTTAGGGATAGGTTATAAATCAGCACCCTAGGGTTTAGGGTTTAGGGTATAGTTTAGGGTTTAGGGTTTATGGATAGGTTATAAATCAGCACCCTGGACCCTACACCTTATTAAGCATCGTTAAGCCTTGCAGAGCTCATCCATTTCCTTGGCCTTGTAGGATCCTTACAAAACCGTTCCCTAAACCCTAAACCAAAAACCCTAAACCGTGGCGCCCCGAAACCTTGTGGAACTCTTATGAACGTCCATGCCTTATGGAACCCTTACACAAGCCAGATCGTAGGGTTTAGGGTTTAGGGTTTAGGGTCGCCGTCTTTATCCTCTTGTAGGCCTTGGGTAAGTATGCCCCAGCAAACCCTAAACCCTAAACCCTAAACCCTAAACCCTAAACCCTAAACCCTAAACAATCAAGCTCCGGCTCTTCGGCCTTAACCTTTAAGACCAAGAGACATGCACAAACCCTTTTAGGGTTTAGGGTTTAGGGTTTAGGGTTTAGGGTTTAGGGAACAAAAGGGAGGCTCAACCCAACCATCTTAAACCGTCTTAAACCCTGAATCCCAGTGACCTCTTTTTGGGCTGGTATTCTTGTACTGTTCGCAACCCTAAACCCTAAACCCTAAACCCTAAGCCCTAAACCGAAAGCGTGCGAAGCCCAGGCTCAGCCATCGGGAACCTTCAGAGCAGGCACTCAACGAAGTAGCCCTGACCGTTCTGAGGCCGCTTGTTGGATTTTGGGGTTTAGGGTTTAGGGCTTGTTTCAAAGAGGGGTAAATAGGATTCAGGGTGTAGGGTTTGGTTGTAAAGAGGGGTAAGCAGGCTTTAGGGTTTAGGGTTTTGGGTGTTGGTCTTTAGTGTTGAGGTTTTAGGGTTCAGGGCTTAGGGTCTAGTGGTAATTTCTTCAATGCTTCCTTTCTGGGCAGGCCTAAACCATAAACCCTAGACCCTAAACCCTAAACCCTAAACCCTGACCCACAAACCTCAAACCCTTTCGGTGGGCTCGGTAGGTTTAGGGTTTCGGGTCAGTGCTTGTTCCTTCGGCTGTTCTTTTGGTGTATCGTAGACCTCATTTGAGGGTTTAGGGTTTAGGGTGTATCCTAGACCTCAGTTGGGAGTTTAGGGTTTAGGTTGTATCATAGACCTGAGTTGGGGGTTTAGGATTTAGGGTGCATCAAAGACCTGAGTTGAGGTTCTAAGCCCTAAACCCTAAACCCTAAAACCTAAACCCTAAACCCCAAACCCTTTCTCGCTACCTTTTGCGCTTGATCCCTTTTCGAGTCTGAAGTTGATTGCTGGTTCGAAGGGTTTGGGATCAAAGGTTTAGGTCTAGGGTTTTGACTGGGTCAAAAGCCGGCTTGGGGGATATTCTGAGATCCTAGAATGGTTTAGGGGTTTAGGGTCTCGGGTTTGGGGTTAGGGTTTTTAGGGTTTAGGGTTTAGGGTTTGGGTTTAGGCTGCCTAGAATGCTTAAGGTTTAGGGTTTCGTGCATAGGAGAAGTTACAGGGTGTTGGATGTTTCGTCCAGGCTTGTTCATCTGTTTCCGTGCAAATCCTGGGGCAAGTTGTAGATTCAGGGTTTAGAGCGTGAGGTGAGTTTAGGGTACATGGTGAACAGTGAAAAGGTTTCCGGGGTCTCATAAAGCTGCACCATCTAATCATGTTGGGCCGCTATACTACACCCCTAAACCCTAAACACCTAAACCCTCAACCTACCAGCCGGTACTCCTGCCCCCAAGCACGCGTCACACGCTTGAACTTCTGAAAGCCCTGGGCCCCTCCACCATGCCAGCGAAGCCCTACACCCTAAGAGCGAAACCCGAAAGCCCCACATACTCCCTTGGGGTTTCGGGTTTAGGCGTTAGGCTTTAGGGTTTAGGGGTTTAGGGGTTAGGGTTTTAGGGTTTAGGAATCAAGGAAGAGGCCTCCATCACTTCCTGTGTTTAGGGTTTAGGATTCACTAGCTGAGTAAGTATCCGTCACTGTGGACAGATGGCTCCGCTTCACGAACTGGGCAGCCAATGAAGTCCTCGTCACGGGCTGGAGGATTTGGCCTGCCTCCGGCAGGCCGAGATCAACGCAACTGCAGTGACGAAGACTGTCAGGGGGCAAGTAATATAGGGGCCTAAATAATTACCTATACCATTATGGGGGTTCCTTATTATAAGTATAGTATACAGGGCCCCAAAACCCTNNCTAATAATTAAGGCCCCTACATTACTCTTCAAAGAGTGGGGAGGGATGGAGGACAGGCTCGGCTCTCAGCACGGGATCGGCACCGGCGTGAAGCAGAGGCGCGCAAGGAGAGCAACCTCCTCAATGTCGTGGCTGATATGGAGGAGGCAGCCAAGACCCGAAAAGGGAGATGAAGGCCCAAGATTATAATTCCCTATAGAACCGAGAGTTCAAACGTATGGGCTTTAGGAGCTTAGCAACGAAGATCATAAGAAGAAGCGTGACATAAGCTGAGTCACATGAGTTGTGTTCCTTGCTTGATTGCTGCGGGGAAACCCGACCCTCGCTGGCTTTTAATTATCATGTGCATGATTCGGGTTTAGGGGTTTAGGGGCGGTGCGTGAGCGAGGCTTCTTTAAATTGCAGGTGTGGTACTGCAAGGGTTTCGCTAGGTAATTATAGTGTTTTGGAGTGAACCGAGACTATAGCCCTAAACACGGTAACCTGGACGGCAATTTGGGTATACTTGCCTCCTTCGTGGTCTTACTTGAAGAACAACCCTGTATTCCTCACCATTCTAGACCTATAGACCCCAAAATACCGAACCTTAGACCCTAAACCCTAAA